AATCTTTGATTCATTTGAGATTTGTCTTAGGGAGACAAGTGAGACTCTGTCTGGAAAAAAAAAGAAGCCTCTTCTTTGTATGTAATTGTGGCCACAAAATTTGCTCACCCTGGCATCTTGGAATAGCAAACACTATTTCTACTAGTACAATTCCTTTTTAAAAAAATTCCCTACTGCTGCCATATCATGTCATCACCACTCACAGCATGTTGGTGAAAATATTATCCTTGTATTTGATCAAAATCAGGTTCTGAGTTTTCGTTTTCTTCATTGGCGGCTGAAGGAGTTGCCTGTGCTTGAAGGTGCTGTACTTTGTCTCCCTGATGTCACAAGGGCCAGCCTTTCTTTAGGAGCTCAGGACCCTTCCGACCCTTCTCATTCTTCCTAGCTAAATGACTTTCCCATTTGGAGGCCCTTGTTAAGGCAGGTCACCTGAAGGGCTACTCTTTTCTGTCCTTGAGAATGGCTCCTGTGACTCTCTGTTATCAAAAGGCATTTTCTAAAGAACTCCCAACCCCCTCTGTTCTTCCCCAGACTGTGACAGTCTCACATCTCTGTCAAGGTGAGGAAGGATGGGTTTGGTCCTTCAGCAGCAGACAGTAGGGGGATATTGGGTCTGGATTCCACTCAGAAGGGCCTCTGTAATGAGGTAATAAAAATAACCCCACAAATTAGGTTATCGCACTTAAAGGATCCCAGATTTTTAAAAAATCCTCTCATATTTTCTTTCTTGTTTTGTTTTTGTCTTGTTGTTATTGTTGTTGTTTGAGACTGAGTCTCACTCTGTTGCCTGGGCTAAGGTGAGGTGGTGTCATAATAGCTCACAGCAACTTCAAACTCCTGGCCTCAAGAATCCTCCTGCCTTGGCCTCCCAAAGTGCTGGGATAATAGGCATGAGCCACCATGCTCAGCTTCATATTTTCATCTAAAGAGTTTGATACTGTTCTTTTTTTATATTTAAATCTTCGATTCATTTGAGATTTGTCTTAGCATGGGTCCAACTTGAATTTTTTCATCTGGCTGTGTCTTTCCTCTGTGGTTTGAGTGTCTGCCCTTGTCCTGTGCTACATTCCCATAGTCCAGTGGTTCTCAACCTGTGGGTCACGACCCACAGGAACTATATTAAAGGGCTGCAGCATTAGGAAGATTTGAGAACCACTGCCATAGTCGTTGTGCAGATCCTCTTCTCTGCCATTCCATCTGTCATGCACCACCTGTATGAAATTCTGATTCATGTGTCTGCTAGGTCTGCCTGAAGGTTTTGTTTCATCTCTTTGGTCTGATTTTGTATAATGTTTAACTTTTGAGATTTCATAATAACTTAACATCTTACAGAGATAATCTCTTTCCTCCTCCCCATTTCAGTCAACAGTCTCTCTTAATGTTTATTTTCATACATTTATACTTTAGTTACATGATTTGCCACTGTTAAATGTTATCTTTTAGATTTCCAGGTATGAAAAGGCAATGAAGCAGATGAGGCAATGATTGCCAGATAAGGCAATCAGCAAACATATCCTATATCCCACCTATACCTATAAACCTTCAACTTCCACTTTTGTTACAATGTCATTTCTACACTGCTCTATGACATTTACTCTAAGCATCCTAATTGCCATGGTAAATTTAGTCTTTGTTCTAAAGTTAACTTTATTAGGTGTTCATCCCTTAATAGTCCACAAATTTGTATATGTTCAAAGCTGTTTGCCTATAGGTTTAATATGTGAAGAACAGTTTTGTTGAATATAAAATTCTTGGCATATATTTTCTTGAATATCACATGGCTATTTCTTCTCTGACTTCAGGTACTGAATGTTACTATAGGGAAATCTTGAAACCAATTGACCTTCCCTCTTACAAGGGATTTGATCTTTTTGCTGTTATCCACCTGTCTCGCTGTTAGCTTGGGTTAGTTTTCCTTGGCACACAGTAGAACTTTCAGAGTTTCTTATACCTTTTTAGATTATTTGTTCTAGTCCTTTTATTTGTTCTAGTATTTGTTCTAGTCCTTTTAGTTTTCTTTGAGAACTCCAATTACCTGTATATGTTCATTGATTCTCCTTTTTCTTTTTTTTCATTTATTTATTTGCGGTTTTGGCCAGGGCTGGGTTTGAACCCACCACCTCTGGTATATGGGGCTGGCACCCTACTCCTTGAGCTACAGGTGCTGCCCTGATTCTCCTTTTTCTGTCATTTCCTTTAATCCTCTAACCTTTCTTTGTTTCCATTTCATTTAATTGTTTCTTTCTCATTTGGTCCTCTTTTTCCCTTTTGCTTTTTTCCAAGATGCCTATTTCCTTTTGTGCTCCTTCCCATTTTGTCTTTATTTCTCCAAATGCCTTTTCTCTTGTGCCCCTCATATCTCTATCCAGCAGCTAGAGGGCAATTATATGAACTCATAGTTTACTGGTAGCTTGTATGATATGCCCATATGTGAAGATTTACATTAAATTATAGAGACCATTATTTACTAAATTCAGCATCTAACCTTAAGTAAACAATTTATTAACATTAATAATAGAAATGTCACCAAGACTTTGTGTAATTGTTTTACTAATTGTTTTCTCTGTTTTCTCAGGAGGTCTAATGTTAGGTCTTAGGAATAATCAGGCTATAATATTCATCAAAACATCATTAATTTATTTCTGTGTACTCCTACAGAATTTCAAAAAAGGACTGGAGACGCTACCAAAATATAGCACAAGAAATTTATAGGAAGAAAGAAAATAGGCCGGGTACAGAGGCTCACCCCTCTAATCCTAGCACTCTGAGAAGCTGAGGCAGGAGGATCTCTTGAGCTTAGAAGAGACCAGAGACCAGCCTGAGCAAGAGCTAGACCCCATCTCTACTAAAAACAGAAAAATTAGCATTTTGGCAAGCACTTGTAGTCCCAACTACATGGGAGGCTGAAGCAGTAAGATGGCTTTAACCTGGGAGTTTGAGGTTGCTGTGAGCTCTGTTGCCATAGCACTCTAGCCTGAGGCAACAGAATGAGACTCTGTCTCGAAAAAAAAAAAGTAATGAGAGGCAAAACATGAAATAAAAATACACAAAATACATGATATAAAAACATCCAGTATTCTCAGGCTGGTCATGCACATTAAGGAAAAATTGAAGACTTCTGATTTTTATTTTAACTCTGTCTTTCCAATTCTAATTTCTCACATGATAACATAATTTCTTATTTCAAGTTGGTATTTAGTAAATGCCTGTTAAACTTTTGTTAAATATAAATGGATAAGTTGTTTGAAACACCACTGGAAAAAAAAAATAGCATCCAGTATTCCTGTTTTAAGCTTTTGGCTCCAAGATTCCAAGCAGGCAAAGCAGAAAGGGAGCCATAGTCATGGGCATGAAACAAACACAAATCAGTTGCCCAGAAGAGGAGCTCCTTTGGGGATTGAGGTCAAGAGAGAAATTTGTTCTTCAGTCTCATTAAGAAGACATTGTGTGGGCCGGCGCCCTAGCTCAGTGGGTAGGGCTCCAGCCACATACAAGGAGGCTGGCAGGTTCACACCCAGCCCGAACCACCTAAAACAACAATGACAACTGCAACAACAACAGAATAGCCAGGCATTGTGGCAGGCACCTGTAGTCCCAGCTACTTGGGAGGCTAAGGCAAGAGAATTGATTAAGCCCAAGAGTTTGAGGTTGCTGTGAGCTATGATACTATGGCACTCTACCCAGGGTGACAGCTTGAGACTCTATCTAAAAAAAAAGGACATTGTGTTTTATGAACAATGTTGTCAACAACTTCCCAGCAGCATTTAAGTTCCTGACAGCGATTAATTTCTTTCTTTCTTTTTTTTTTTTTTTTTTT